TTTTTTAAAGTCCCTATATTTGAAATATTTTATACCACTTTATATTCCAACCAAACAACCCCTTAATAGAATATTTATTTTAACTATTTTATCCCTCTAAAAAAAATAAGTTGTCTAAAATTATAAGAATTTATTTTTTTAATTTTATTTTGAAGTTATACTCCTCTTAATCCTATTTTATTCAACCTAAAAAAAAAATGATTTCGCACAAAAATACCCAAAATGTAAATATTTATTACAAAAATACCATGTGAATAGACTGCGTTGACTGCATTTCTCGGATGAAACGTGGCATAGTGGGCCGAATGAAAATGGACGTAGTGGATAGTTAGTTACAGTACAATTTTTATTTAATAATTTAATATTTCATTTTATTAAAATATTATAGAAAAATATATTTTTTTATTTAAAAAAATTATATTAATATTTTTAATAATTTAAATATTGAAATATTATATAAATAAATATAAAATTTTTAAAACTGACCGGTGCACCGGTGGGACAGTTTCCGCCGGCCATCTTACAAGCCCAGAGAGGCTTTCCTCGGCCGTTGAATTTCCCTCCGTAAATGGAAAGGCCTTTGACCTGCCGGAAAGTAATCCAGGTGGCGGCGGCGCTGCCGTAGTCGGAGGAAGCGACGACGGTGGCTCCATAGGCAAATATTCGCATTCCGACGCTCTTGCATGGACCGGAGAATTCCGCTCGGCTGAGGAAAAAGGTGCCGGAAGGGATGAAAATGGAGGCTGGTTTTGTGGAGGAGCAGGCTTTGGACCATGCGGCGAGAAACGGCTTGGCCGAATCGGTCAGGCCGTCGGGCTTTGCGCCGAAGTCGGTGATGTTGTAGGAAGGCATTGAAGCTGATTTTGTTGTGGAGAGAATGAGGAAGAAGAAAGTCACGAATCTCATGATGAGCTTTTTGGCCATTAAAGAAGAGAGAGAGAGGGAGAGGGAGAGCGAGAGATGGTGGATTGTTGATGGAGCTTGGAGCATAAATTTATAGGCTTTGAATAGGGAAGATTGTTTTTGAAAAGAGTTGTAGAAGTGGAGTTCAAGTGAATCTGATATTAATGAAAAGATATTGGGTCAGGATATTTGGTCAAAACTTTAGTTAGGATAAATTTAAAATTAATATATATAAGATGGCGAGCTGATATAACATTTTATGCATAAAATAAAAAATATATTGAAAATACGTTGACTTACTTTTTTTTTTTTTTAAGGATAATGTTTGGGATAGTTGTTTCACTTCATTGTTTCTCATGTTTATAATTTTATTTGGTTATTATTTTTGATATATTATCGAAAAATTAATTTGATCGGGCACCCTCGAGGCAAAAATCATGCTGGAAACTTCAAAAATTAAATTGAAGATCATTTGAACTCCGATTTTAGCGAACTTATAGTCGAACTAAACGTCTTGAAGTTAAATACAAACCCAACGACACCAAATTCGACCCAATCCGAGTTCATATTGGTCCAAATCAAAGACCCGAAGCACATTTGGAAGGTTCAACCCATAATTTGAATTACCAAACAGTTTTCAAATGTGGCATGCTTATAGTCGAATCGAGTGGCTCGACGATATGAATCCAACGAGCCCAAGATCGTTGAATTCTCATATCTTTAGAGCCTTTAAATGTCTAATAAACGATCCACGATCAAGAGATTCAACATCGGCCGTCCATTCAAACCACTCACAATTTGTCCCTTATCTTCCTTCTATTTACTAGTCACGCCACTCTCAAAAAATTATAAATAGCCCCTCATTTCTCTTAAGAAGGGACCCAAGCAAGAAGAGAAGAAGAGAAGAGAAAGAAGAAGATAAGGAAAAAAATGAGGAGAAGGAAGAAGCTCCTCCTCGACCACCGTCGGACTTTCAACCTGCAGCCGACCGATGCTGGAATTAAGCAAGGAGGAAAGAAGGGAAGGAAGAAGAGAAATAAGAAGATAAGAAAGAGACTCATTCTCGACCATTGCCGAAGTTCCTCCCGAACTCCAAGTGGTGCCAGAGTTCCATCCGACCTTCAAGTGACGTCGGAGTTCCTCTCGAACTCTAAGGGACACCAATGTTCCGCCCGACCTTCAAGTGACGCAGGAGTTCTACCCGATCACACAACGTCACCAGAATTTTGATATCTTTTTGTAACTGAATTTCAACTCGATAGTTGTAATATGATCATCCTCAATTTTAGGGACGAGTCAACCATTTGTAACTTAAGTAAATACTAGTAGAATCTTATCTACTAGGCGTGGCCCCGAGATTTTTCCCTTTACAGGGATTTTCACATAAAAATACTGGTGTTCTTTCATCTTCTATTTTTGTGCTGGATAACTGTGCAGCGTTGAGATAAAAAACGTTCTAACTCTATCACCACATATATTCTAGCCTACAATAGTTTGGCGCCGTCTGTGGGAATCACAATCCCATAATTTTAAGTGTTGCTTCAATGGCCAATGGGCGTAGCAATCGTATCTTGGGAACTTCCCGCTCCAACTTCCACCAATTTAGAAATCAGTCTATGAATCATTGACGTCCAATATCTACCTCTTTTTTATTATGGGGGAAAAAATACTGATGGAGAAGGAACCTTAGGACTTTACTTAGATAAGAAAATCTAAAAAATGGAATAATCTTAGAATGAGATCCTTCAAATCCTACGAGAGACTCGACAACCGGTGCTAGCATAACAGGAGGATGTTCTTCTCCCTCGAGATCCACCATTGGCCGAAGATGTTCAACTTGAACATCTTCAAATAGAGATTCCTCTTCCTCTGCCAAGGAGGCATCTATATAATCACATCAAAACAACGAACTTGCTGATATAGTAAGTTATGCTAATCCTTTGCACATAGGTCAACAACCCACATTCCTCTAGACCTCCTTGAAGACTTAGCCCAACTGCATATTGCTGAGCTCCCTCGCAACACCATATGTCATAATATGCAAAGATTCGTCTAAGAAGAGTTCCCAAAAAGATGTGTAAGACAACATCTTCATCAATGGGACTTCTAGGAGTCATCAAACCTAACTAAAGTCATTCTTCTACACCCCCTTCCAACAAGATTCAAACTGTCAAGTATTGATTCCTACAATGGGACATCTGACCCATACAAGCATATCGATCATTATAGAACCATCATGCATATCCAACGAGCCTCGGATGTACTCCTCTGTCAGGTATTTTCTGTTACCCTCAAAGGACAAGCTTGAACGTAATTCTATTAACTTACAATGAGAACAATTCCTACTTTCATCATATTGGCCTAAGTGTTTGTAGAATAATTCATTGTCAATCAAAAATTACTAAGATTCGTCTCACCTCTTCGGGATCGCCCAAAATGAAGGAGTGTCACTGAAGGAGTATTTTCAACGATTTTCTACCGAGGCTCGGTAAATTCTACGAATAGATCCTGAATTGCTGAGAGGAGTCTTTCTTAGAGGCCTTCATCTTTGCCCCTTCTATTCGGCACTCATATGAGATATAATATATTTATATGCCAACTTGATCCATCGCGTAAAGACATAAATCTCTACAGATGAAGCCATAATGCTCACATAAAATAGTTTGAAATAAATAAATGGAAAGCGCAAAGGTGCACCTAGGATCGATGGATAATTCATCCTCACAACGAAATAAATAATAGAATAATAATCTACCTCATAGGCCTCCATTGCCATGACGGGAACCTTAGCAATAGAAGGATTATACACCACTCAACACATCCCGAGAAAATGTGTTGATTTCCATCCGAGATCAAGATACTGTGACATGGTTGAATCCTTTGAAGTCGAATACAAAAAATCAGGATCAATATTGTCATTTTCATCATAGTTATGGCCACACTATCAAAGCTTGTAAGCTGCTCAAGGATGAAATTAAAAGGCTTATCCGCCAAGGTTATCTTCGATGGTTTATTCGAGTTCCACATGCCCGAGAGGAAGCTCGTCTCACTGGGGACAAAATCAATAATAACATAGGTAACTATTGAATAATCATATAAAAGTTGGTGAGATTGAGATCATTGTAGGAGGCCCTTTATTATCTAATAAAGTATTTTTTGTTGTAGGTGAAAACCCGATGCCAAAGAAGATTTGTATCGATCATTCTATCATTTTTTATAATTCTAATTTGAAGGGAATAAAAGTCCCTCATCAATATCCACTTGTGATTAATGTGGAGATAGGTGACCCGTGTTACAATGTCAAAAGAATTTTTGTGGATAATGAAAGCTTCGTGGATTTCCTATTATATTATACTTTTCTCAATATGGGTCTCACCAGAGAAAAATTGTAGCCTACTGTAGGTCCACTATATGAGTTTGACAATCGACATGTACGAGCAGAATGGATAATTAGTCTCCCAGTTGCACTTAGAGAATTTTTTTGACAGGCTACACACTTTATCTAGTTCATTATAGTAAAGTCAAAATCAGTTTACAATGATATCTTTGGAAGGCCACTCCAGTTGATATTTGAGATTATCGCCTCCATCCCTCACCTTAAGATGAAGTTCCTTATCCCAGTAGGAGTCAATGTAGTATGCAGAGAACAATAAATAGCACAAACCTGCTATCTTAGGTAGGTTAAACCACGTCCAACAGTTACCCTGAGCATCGAGGACTTTGATCTCTAGGGCGAGGATATCCCTCAGAGAGCTCCTCCTATAGAAGACCTCACTACTATATCCATATCAGAAAAACACCCTTCAATGATCGTGCAGATTGTATCCCTTCTCTCAGACGAAGAGAAGAAAGAATTAGTAAATTTTCTATGAAATAATTAGGATGTTTTTGGATGGAGTCTAACATATATGTATAGAATCGACCCTGAAGTGATCTTGCACTCCCTCAAACTCAACCAAACTTTTAAGCCAGTAATCCAAAAGAAATAAAAGATTTTACCAGATCGTTAGCAAGTAAGTAAGCAGGAATTGGATAAGCTTTTAAAAGTTTGATTGATACAGGAAGTATACTACCCCACTTGGTTGGAGAATGTCATCATGGTATGCAAGACAAGTAAAGCTTAGAAAATTTTTGTATACTATATATATCTCAATAAAGTCTGTCCAAAAGACATCTTTTCCTTTCCTCGTATTAACCAGTTAGTCGATACCACATGTAGACATCAGATGTTGAGCTTTATGGATGCATACTCTGGCTATAATTAAATAAAGATGGATCGTACTGATGAAGAGGCCAAAGCTTTTCAAACAAATAAAGGATTATACTGCTATCTGGTGATGTCATTCAGGATCAAAAATGTTAGAGCCACATATCAACGCCTTATGAATAAGGTTTTCAAGGACCTTATTGGACGCTCTATAAAAGTATATGTTGATGATATGCTTGTGAAGAGTTTTGAAAAATCTCTACATATATCTGACTTTGAATAATGCTTCCATCTACTATGACACTACAACATGAGACTCAACTCTGCCAAATGTGCTTTTGGAGTCGCATATGGAAAGTTTTTAGGATTTATGGTTACCCATAAAAAAATCAAGGTACTAAGGGATATGATGCCCCCAAAGAATATCAAGGAAGTCTAGAGACTAAATGGAAGGATTTCAGTGCTATCTCATTTCCTGGCTCGTTCAGGAGATAAATATATACCCTTCTTCAAAATACTTAGAGGTGCTCGTAGCTTTGGATTTCAATGGACTGATAAATACTAAGAAGCCTTTCATACTAATTCACAATTAGTTGCCTCTTAGGTTGATGGAGAGTTTGACATCCATAACCCACAACTAACCCAATATTGTAACATCGTAAAGTTGCTCTTAGCCTATATAAAAGAGTATCAGATCATCCACATTCTTTGAGAGCAAAACACACATGCCGATGCTCATTCTAAACTTACTACATCAACGATAAGAAATATTTATAAGATAAAGTATATCGAGGAGATCTACTTTCTAAGTATC